ACACACACACACACACACACACACACACACACACACACACACACACACACACACATATAATGAACAATAGTCAACTTTAGTGATCTAACCTACTAAGGAGGCTGAAACCTGACTAGTACATGAAAGGGGAATATTCAGAAAATGTACAGCTGCAGACAAGACAGGACAGTTAAAAAAAAACTTCCTAGAAGATGGCAGTGGCAAACCATTTTGTTGTTATGAAATCCATGAAATTCCCAGGAAATTGTAACTCTTATTAAATGCTTGTTCAGCATTTCCATCACTTAGAGAACTCCCAGTTACAATTACTGTCATTGTGAAGATTACCTGTATACATAAGAACTGATAATACTAAAAAACTGACAAGGCACTAAAACGTACCTGCTGTTCCTGGAGTTACCATCCTACATCTTTTCTACATTATCCACAAAACTCATGAGAACGACCTTTTATTTCATTCTATAACTATTTATTAAATTTATTTGCCATCCATCCCAAGTGTGTGATTCTAGGTGACTTAAGAATTTAAAATATAGGAAATGATTACCCAAGCCTTGCAAAATATTTATAATCTATACAATTATTTATTTAAAATGTGTCCATCCATCTTAACCAAGCTCATAACTATACTATCATTAAACAGCACTGCATTTCACAGAAGTCAATAATTTCTTACTCTCTTATGCATGGAGAAAGTGAAACAGATCTATAGATTATATAAACAGTTTGATCATTATCTTCCTATAGTGCAGAAGACATAACCAAAGAGTAAGTTACCAATATGTATGGGAATATTATTTAAATTTAAAATTAGGGCTTAAATCATGCTTTGTGGTATAAGATTTTTAATGATTGTATATTGTGGCATATTTATATGTTTAAATAAATTTTTAGTAAATCTGATACTTGCTGAGAATCTGTTTATATAAGCACTGTTTACTTATGTTGTATTTGTGCTGATAAATAAATAAAGGGAGACTAGTATAGATCTATTTCAAGCTATTTAGCTGTCACCAGTTAGCCCCTGGTATGCCCAAATATGGGAGGAAGTTCACTGTTTCCATTCTCTGTTTAGCTTGAAATAGATCTATACTAGTCTCCCTTTATTTATTTATCAGCACAAATACAACACAAATGTAACAAAGGCAACAGTAAAAAATATTGGGTTTCTGTCTGGATGGTCTCTTGTGACGAGCCGATGGACAGAGAATGGAAGCAGTGAACTTCCTCTCATATTTGGGCATACCAGGGGTTGTGACTTTAAATATATACCTTTCTCCCTGGCTCAGCTGATAACGGAGGAGAGCCTGTGGCTTAGTGGTTAACACATCTGCTTAATATGTAATACAGCCCAGGTTCGAATCCCAGTAAGGGTATGGCTAACTGATGAGACTTGTGACTTTAAATATATACTGTTTACTTATTTGTCAACTCTTCTGCAAAAACAAAATCCACAAAACCAGTGTGCATGGTAAGCGTCCAATATGACTGTGTATACTTTGGATTTTTAAAAATAAAATTGTGGTTCTTATTTTACAGCTCGGAATGGAAGAAGAAGATGTGATTGAGGTTTATCAGGAACAGACAGGAGGCCATTCAACAATTTAGAATGTTTGTTTTCCCCCCCCCCCCTTTTCCCTTTCTCCTTTTTTATTTTTAAATAATAGTTCTTTTGTAATGTGGTATATAACACTGAATTAAAACCAACACCACATTCCTATGTTTTTAAATATTATTTCCAAGTTGTCTGTTTTTTAATTCTTGTGCTCCTTATACACTGTCAATTGTGTCTGACTTTGGTGATCCTCCTGCAGTTGTGCTTCCCAATTTTTTCCCATTTCCTTTTTAGAAAAGCAGCTGTCTACACTTGCAGTTACATGTTGGTGAGGGCCGTGTATCCAAGCCTTGACTATTTAGCTGTGGGCCGGTTTTTACTATTCACGTTAGCCTGAAATTTAGGTGTGTGGATTTTTATTTGTGGATTTTAAGAGAAGAAGATACGGAAGCTTTTTTTGGAATATAAACGGAAGGATTGTGCCCTAATATTAAGAAGAGTTTTCTGCAGATTTTATTGGGAAGTATCCAAATACTGGTGGCAAAAATGTGGTTTCTTTATGGTAACATTCTCTTTGAAATGGCTTCACTGAGGTTAATATGGAAATTGTTTGGGGTTTTGTCAACAGAAGATCCTAGGAAAGTTCTAATTAATGTACACCTTCATGCAGCAAGAGTTAATGATTTTTATGTTGTACCTGTTTGCCTGGAATGTGGTTTTTCAATGGACATAGATTGTATTGGCTTCCCATTAAATAAATAAGAGGAAACAAATTCATAAACCTCTGCATTTTCTTTTTAAGATATATATTTGGAAGATTATTTGAAAAACTAGTGAAGAATATTTAAAGAAGATAATTTTTTTATCAATGCTGGAGGATGTTAACACAGGAAAAAAAATTGATTCGCCTTTGAGAATTAGCAATTTCCCTACTGCTTGCTCTCAGTATATAAGTAGAAATCAAGAATTTATCTTTCACTGGGAGTTGTATTTTGTAATTTGTAGATCCGGAACTCTGAAAATTAATGGTAAAGTAATGAAGAATAAATATGGAAAAAATAAAAAATGCTATCCAGACACCTTCATTGGTTGGTGTTTAAAAAACAGGGGTGTACCAATTCTTCAGTTTCAAAGAATCACAGAAAATATTGGGACTCAAATTAGATATGAATAACCTAACCTATTGATTTCTTAATTAATACCAAATAACATTAATTAGTGTTAATACGTTAATACTACCTTGTAATCTGTATTGGGTCTTTTAAAACCTAGATACTTTGAGGAGTTCCGTGCATCCCATATGCATGCACTATTAGTGTGATAAAGGTTAGAAACACTGAAAAAAACACTGATCCAAAATCAATATCCTCACTTTTTAGAATTCAAGACTTCAATAGGTTTAGGATTGAAAACCTGGCATTAAATCCTGTTTGTACAAAGAAGTAAACTAGTTTATTTTTCAGACAGCTCCCATTGGCAATCTTAGAGTGTAAGTACCTCTGAAAATAAGTTAATTTTCTGGAAATAAATTATTCGTGTTTGGAAATTATGTGAAATAGTGTTCTGGAATGAGGCCTGATCAACCAAACCGTTTTTTCCCCCTAAGTGATTGTCTTAATTCAAAACATTCTATCTTCATATCTCTTTTAGCCAATTGCAAAACTGTCATAGAAAACCTGTCAATGCTAGAAAATTTTTTTTAGCCCAGGTTCGCAATATTGATTGGCAGGACTAGAAACGCTGTTCTACCTCGGGTTTATTTTTGTTGCCAGGGGAATGGGAAAGGTCAGAAATTAGGACTGCAATGTTCTTACGCATTCTTTAACAAGCCATTTAATTGTATTTAATTTTCAGGCACTTAACTGTAAAGTGTTAAATGGATCTTCTCCAATGCTTGTAGTTTCCATGTCCCACTTCTGATGCCTTTTTTGTACGCATGCCAAACTTTTTTTAAAAATTAAAACTTGTTTTCAAAAATCAAAATCTGGGCTTAAGTGTTATCCATATCTTTAGCATTAAATATTTGAATGAAAGTGGGAAAGATTTGTAACACGATCCTTGTAACATGATTATTTGCCCCTTAACATTGCTGTTCCCCCTAGAGGGCAGGCAGCAGTTTGCAAGAGAAAAGTTTTAAGTATCTATAATAAAACCCAGAGTTACTAAAGATTAAACACTTAAAATCAGATTTCATTTTTTAAAATAAAAGTAATAGCATAATTAGTCTGAAAGAAAATTTGGGAGCCAGCTGAACTTGCTTTAGAAGAACTTGTGCAGCTGAGAATTCCTTACACCGGAGCAGTACGTTACACCAGACCAATTTCTAGGACCATAAAAATTCATTCACAGTGAAAACACAAAACACTGCAGAAATGAGAGTGTGATTGTCTCTTAAATAGAAATCCCAAGGCCCCTATTTCTAGAGATCACCTAGCTATTTCAAACATGTTACTCATCAGGAATGTCTACATTCCTATTCTACAAATAAAAATAAATTTAAATTTTAAATTTAATCTCGAGATTCATAACCTAAAAGACAGTCTCGTATGCTTTAGGATTTTTCAAAGGAAAAAGCCTACTTCTAGCCTAAAAAAGAAATAGAGAAAAAATAATTTAGCAAGTTTAGAGCATAGGAACCAATCAAAAGTAGGACCCACAGATGGCATTTACTCCAACTAGTTTGATTGTGGTTGTGTCAGTATTAAAGGAAACTCAGCATGTTTGCAATAACAGCAAATAGATTATATTTACATATATCCACACACATCCCAGTATGGGCTAAAAATTATTTAGAACATCGTCTAGATGTGTCAGACAAAATTTGGAGAAAAGAATTTTTAGTCGTTCTACGTTTTCTTAAGTCTGTTGGAAAACTTGTCAGAATGTAAGCTTGATTTTTATCACGCTACCCAAAAAGCTATTTGACCATGGATTTTAGGACTTTAATCATCATCTGTTGTAAAAAAAGGATTCTGGAAGTAGGAATAAACCCACGGACGCGAAATCTCCTGTCTTCGATCCAGTCCACAGGCTTCTACAAGTACTTGATACTGAAATTGTTGCTCCTTCTCCAGTTCTGCCATGTGTCTGGAACCAGATAAATTAATAAAAGAAATTTTGTAATTTTAACAACATTATAGGGAACAGAGATGGAAAGTTGAAGTGGGTTGAAAAGCTGAACAAGGAAGATATAGGGACTTCTTATAACTCCATCCCCTGTTGGGATACAGAGCAAAGCTTCCTCGTGATACCTTCAGTTATGGGCAAACTAGTTTCAAGCCCAGTCTTTCTTAAATCTTGATCTCAAGCAATATGCAGCATTAATGCAATAATCACCAATTTGTAACTTGTAAAATAAGAATTACAGTATGTGTTCCATTAAAAATCCTTGCCACAGCATTTGGGAGCAGCTAGAAATTAGGGGGAATTTCACAGGAAACTCACTGCCATTAACATTAAGCATTAATAATTATCAATTGGTAGAAGAGTATTTCTAATAAAAAACCATTCTTATCACAAACTACAGGAGCATATTTACTGGTAAGGGGCAGAACACACTATCTACCTACCTACCTACCTACCTACCTACCTACCTACCTACCTACCTACCTACCTACCTATTTATTTATTNATGTCCCTGAGATCAGCAGGACATGCCCTTCTCTATCACCGTCTCTACAGGATGGGTTAGATCCAAAAGGACTCTCCAGCAGCAGAGATATTGACAGCAATCCTGGAGCTCCAAGATTGCATGTCGTGTCGTAGCGACGTCAGTCCCACCTTCCCGTCACATGAAATCTATTGATTGCAGTATGCCGAGAGTTCAATACAAGATGGGCAGCTATATAAATGTTACACATAAATAAAATTACTATTATAACTATGTCTTGTATATTATATGATCCATTTCTTTTTAATGGCTTCCTTAGTACTTGCAATAAACATGTTTGTTAGAAAGCTATGTCCTTAAATCTCTACCTGCAAGACTTCAAGTTTCCTTGATAAGAAGCCTACCAGTCCTTCTGCTTTGCTTAAAGATTGGGCTTGCCTGACCCTCTTCCGAATTAGTATGCCTAAACCCAAACAGTACTCTAGTTATTTGATAGCTTGGCTAGAAAATGCTGAAAATACACATCCAACTGCATGGCTGTAACAGTGTAAATTATTCAGCAGATTAAATCAGTGTTTCTCAACCTTGGTGACTTTTGAGATGACTTTAAGATGACCACTTAAGTTTGAGCCAGCAATGTGTTGCCACTGCTAAAAAAGCCAGTGCAGTCTCAGGCTTCATGAACAGAGGAATAACATCAAGATCACGAGAAGTGATAATGCCACTTTATACAGCATAAGTGAGGCCACACTTGGAATACCTCACACACTTCTGATCACTATCATACAAAAAGGGCGCTGGGACCTATGTGTACAGAGAAGAGCAACAAAGATGATAAAAAGGTCTGGAGGTCTAAATTGTATGATGAATGGTTGAGGAAGCAAGGTATATTTAGCCTATTGAAGAGAAGGATTGGGGGGAATGACGTGATCTGACTTCCAATATTAGATGGGCTAGCAGAGAGAAGCGGGGATTGACTTTTTCTGCAAAGCACAAGAAGGCAGGGCAAAAAATAATGGCAGAAGCTTATTAAATTAAACCTAGAACTAAGGATAATTTTTTTGATACTGAGCGCAATCATTGGAACAGCTTGTCTCCTGCCTCCTGGTGCTCCATCACTGGACATTTTCAAAAACAGACTGAACAGCCATTGGACTGGGATGATATAAGGCAGGGGTCTCCAATACACAGCTCCACTTACACAAGTAGTGAGGGTACATGTGAAGCTCCATTTGTGTGAGCGCCTTGCTCATGTGCTTGCTCCTCATGCAAATGAAGCTTCGTGTGCATCTGCCTGTTGCTCACAGTAACCATTACCTCTCCCACCCCCCCCTCAATTTTCCGCAAAGCTGGAAAACCTGGAGATTGCTGGTGTAAGATCTCCTGGAGTAGAAGACCTCTTGAGGTCCCTTCCATCTTTATGATTCTATGTTCTAAAAAGTGGCGATTTCAACCCCCAGATTCCCCATGCTGGCTGGGGAATTCTGGGAGTTGATGCCTCCACCTCTTAAAGTAGCCAAGATTGAGACACACTGGATAGGTAGTAACTAGCTTGTTGACCTTGATAGTCAGGTTCAGCTTCTTCAGCAAGCAGTCTCTGATAGACCTAGAAGCAGCTATGATTAAGGGATGCTATTTTTGCTTAGGAACAGGGGGGGGAAAGGACAGTGCTTACTTAGTGCAAACAACTGAGAAAGCATTAAAAGCTGAGTTTCAAATGTACTAATAAAAGGCAAACTACTATCACTAACTTTAATACTGATTTTTGAAGTGAATCAACTGATAGATTGTTTTCAAAGCTGCCTGGTTTAAATTTTCTCCAGCTCCATTCAGGAAGGTTTATGATTCTGCAAAAAGCAGAGGTGAATAGGTTTAGGTTTATTCGATTTATATGCCGCCCTTCTCGCAAGGACTCAGGGCGGTGTACAACATTAAAAGAAACACATAACACAAAAGTAAAAAAAAAAAAAGAATATCCCAAACCCAATTAAAATTGACAATGACATTTTTTTNCCCTCCCCTCCCCGGCCGCTTTCTCCAGCGGTGATGTCATAGCGCCGGCGGTCCAATGGGCGGAGACGACGTCAGCAGCCTAGCCGAGGCCTCCTCCATTCAAAAGCGGAATTGTCGCTCCGGCCTTTCCCGGTGTCTCGGCACCCGAAGGCGGTGGGAGGCAGGCAGGGCGGCCCCTGCAGCGCCTCCCGCTCCCTCCTGGGTCTTCCCTGAAAGAGAAAAGAGAGGCTGTTGGTGGTCCCTGTTGCACCAAAGACCCCTTGCAGGGATTCCGCCTCAGATTTGAAAGGGGGGGGATTTGCACAGCGCTCTAAAAAAGCAAAAAAGAGTCTATAGAATAGAATAATAGAGTTGGGAGGGACGTTGAAGGTCTTCTAGTTCAACCCCCTGCTTAGGCAGGAAACCCTACACCGCTTCAGACAAATGGTTATCCAACATCAGTCTATATTCCTTTTGTATGAGCCCCGTCAGAAATCTGTATGTGGAAAAAATTTCTTTGCCCAAATATTTTAGGCGCTGGACAATATTTAAATTGATTCTAATTATGAATACATCCAGAGACAGAATGGCATAGTGATCACATAGAAAATTAAAAGCTAATATGTGGGAATAAAAATAATTACTCTCTAATGCAACGTAGTTTTGGCCAGGGAATTGCTGTTGGCGAGAGCATCTTAAAAAGTGGTGGTGGTGACAAGCTTGTTTTAAGTTGATTACTTTTTATTTTGAGGTAAGATAGTTATCCATCTCCAAATTGGGTTGATTCCTAGTAACATCCTGGCTGTGCAGCTTCTGTATGAACCATATGAAAGTGGTTCACTGAGGCGCTTCTCAGGATCTTTTTGACTCCCAGCCTAATTTATTTAGTAAATACGTAAAACTGGTCAATTCTGTCACAATATCAAAACAATTCAAAAATACAACCCAAAAAATAACATGCAAGAGGGTGAGGACTACAACCACAACTTCTATAAAGAGCCTTATAACAGAAGGATCCTGCACCAGGATTAGCCTAAGGCCTGTAGTATTTAAAAACTCTTGAACAAGGTCAGGATGAGGTAAAATGACTCTGTGGGGAGGTGTTGTACAGCTCAGATGTTCTCTGAATGTTCCCCATCTGAGTAGTAACCAGGTTTGACTCAGCCTTTCAAGATGAATCCAGGTTAGCCAGGTGCTGTCCCCTAGATGGGAATTAATGTGATTCTCCCTATGTATTTTATCAATGACTACAGGCAGTCTTCAACTTGTGACCACAATTCAGCACACAATTTCTATTGCTAAGCAAGATGGTTGTTAAGGG